AACTGCAATACGAAACAATTTCAAGCAAGCAATCGATGATGTTTACGTACATATTTGAGTTGACGCATCAGAAATGAAAGTGTTCCCAAGTGTCCCGGAGGTAATTCCCTGACCACCTCCAAAAGCTTATTCACACGTTCCATACCTTCGTATCGGCATTCGATCTGTATGAAAAATATGAAAGCATTGCAGAAAAAAATCTCGATAAAGTATTCAAAAAATTACTCGCAACAGAAAAAAATTTCCATTTTTAAAGAACAATTCGTCAGAAGAGAAGTAAGCGAACATAAAAAAATAATCTTCAACAGAGAATCGAACAGAATGTTGTTTACCTGAAGTAATTGCGAGACAAGGTGAGGCGATTGATCCGAGACAAATAGAGGTGTTCGCATTTCACGAAAAAACCTCTTAATCATTGAGCAAATATCATGTGTATTGCATATCTCGGGAATTTCCTTACAGCCAAAATATGTTGGCTGAAAATTATTCATTTCTTTTTTTGGAGAAATGAAATACGAGTAACTAACTTCCTGTGTGCCATTCGAACATCACTAACGAGCTCAAAAANATGAAATACGAGTAACTAACTTCCTGTGTGCCATTCGAACATCACTAACGAGCTCAAAAAACACTGTCCAAAAGAAACAGTGAAATCACAGAAGCATTCAATGAATACATACCCAAACATTTTTAATTCGATTCACATTTCCCTCCTTCCGGAAAATACCCTCAACGGTCATTCCATGCTGTCGTAGCAATCGGAATGCATCGACCAAAAATCTGAAAAAAGTGAACTTCAAATTTTTCGCTCACTTTAGAATTCACGTTGATCAACTCCTAATTGTAAGCATTCGTGTCTGAGCTACGAATCCAATCAAATGAATAAATTCGAAGCTCACATAGGCACTTCTCGAAGCGTATAGGTGCTGAAGCCACGGCGATCACCAATATCCACCTCCAGATTATACGATCCAACTGCATCCAATCTAAAATGCATCCAATCTATATTTCAAACATCAACTCAGAAATCCTCCGAAAGGAAGTTCTTTCCGCGGAAAATTCTCGTTATCTCCAACAGCAAGAACGTCGAAAAATTTCGGTAACGGATAGGAAATTGCACACTTTCGGAGACCATCAAACGTTACCAATTGCCTCAGTGAAAAAAAGTGTTTCGTGCAAAAATACATTCTCTTTTGTGAATAATGCATACATCGAACAACACTCC